GAATTTTTCGGAGGAACAACCAAAAAAAAATATATATATATATAAAAACAAAATATCAAAACATCAAAAATTCTAGCAACTTTTTGTGCTGAATTAGCTGTAACATTGAGGTGTCTGCCCGCAATGACGCCACAGTTTTCCTCATGAATATGGAAATTTGCATTAGCATAAAAATAAAAAAGGCAGTATCCTCGAAAATGGCAAAACGAAAATTGAAAATGAGATTAAATGGGACAAAAAGGTGCATCGTCAAGGATTGTATTAAAAATACATTGCATGGACCCTTTAAGATAATATGCCTGATCGAACGTCAAGGAATTGCAACTAATTACCTGTACTTAACAATAATAAATGACCCTGTTATCAACAACACAATTACGATTCATGTAGTGCTGCTAGTCCTGAAATTGGCAAGGATGAAGCGCTAACTCGGAAAACTATAAAGTGCACCTTTGAGCAGTCCCTTCGGCTTTCCAATCAAACTAAGCGAAGCAGACCGAACAATGCATGAATCATGACACTCATTAGCCACACATCGGGCCAACAAACCGCTGTTGTATGAACTCTTGTTTACCAGACTCCTGTAAAACAGAAGCCCAGTGTACATAATGTCAAGGTTTGGAACAGGCCAGGGCCTGTGCATGGTGTGACATGACACCTAGCGGTTGCAGGCAGCCTCGACCGCACAGCGCACCCTTTACACTCCCACCGGGTGTGCCGCTGACAGGTGACGAACTATTTCTTAAGGGCAATTGTGCTCAATTATTGCGATCCCTAGTGTCCAATAACCACAAAGAATCTGTCTACACAAAGTGTCTACACAAAAACAGTTGCCATTATGGCTCCATGCCATTACGTTGTACTTTTTAAAGTCAAGCAATTCATAGCTTTAAATGTTGTTTTTTAATTTGTAAACTAAGTTTCATTAGTTTTGGTAGCGTTCCCTGGAATATGCAAACAAAATTATATTTGACTAATGTTTAAATGTTAATCCTTAATTTTAATATTGTTAACAAAATTATTGTTCTGAACTTGTAATGCACATTTGAAAAATGTTATGGTATCTGCGCAAAATAATTCTGTTTTTTATTATTATTATTATTATTATTATTATTACCGCATGTTATTGCAGCTATATATTGGTTTTCACTGAATTTTTATCTTAGCATAAAGGTTATGCAGAAAGAATAAAAATTAAAATATTCATCTAATATCTTCAAAGACAAAAATTCGAATAATAAATTAATATTCAGGCTAAGTATATCTCAGTGAAATAAAATTCAATTTGTAGCTACATTTTGATCCTTTTCTGAGGAAAATGATATGTGGCGTTTAAATACAGTTATAGCGCCTAACAGTAGGGCCTACTCTTCCAGCCATTCGACTTGTTTTTACTCGAACGCGTAATCTTCAAGGAATCAGTTTATTATGAATTGAGTGGGTTTTTTGTTTTATTTTATGGTGTTATCAGGCGCAACTGTTTGTTCATGCAATATTGGTTTATCAGGCAAACCTATCGTGAAATAAACACAACTATGAAACACACACGCGTCATTCCGTATTCGTAGAATCGCATCATGGTGAAACGGGCCTTCAAAAAGAGGAGAAAACAACACGCTTATCTTGTCCTCTTAAATCAAAGAAACGAAAGTACAAGCATTCTGGATCCAATATCTTGCAAGAAACAACAACCTGATCGACGTACACACAGAGAACTAAACCCTGCGCGAGTGCACGGGGCGTGCCACTCAAAAGCCATCTTAGGGCGATAGAAATATTATCCAAATCTGTGCCTATAATCTGATTACATTTTGAAACTCGAGACCGAAATGTCAGCTGTCACTGAAGACGTGTGTTATTTCACCCATGCATGTTCATGAAGAAGGAAAAAGAAAAGCGAAGGAAGACACGGAGTAGGTGTTCAATTGTGATGCAATATTGAATTACCGTGTGGGGGAAGGTGGCTTCTTGAAAAGAAGGTTCTTTCGGAGTACGACTGTATTTGCTATTGGGTTCCTTTGTCTCCCATACCAAGAAACATTCAAGTAAGAACAAATCAAGGTGTTTATTGAGTGAGATCTGTTTTCCTTCCTGCATGGTAAGATTTCACTTTGCTGGGGAAGGGTACATACAGGGGACGGAAGTCTATATCGTAAGTTTTCTATCGTCGTTGGTACAAAATAATGTAATAGGCCCATACCTTTTACCACTTCATAAAAAATGAAAGGCGCATGCATTATCAAAAGAAGACCTTGGCTATACTGATGATTATTATTATCATGTTCGTTATTGCACAAGCTTGCGCTTAAAAACAACAGGATAGCATCACACACCGTGGCCTGGATAATTAGCCAATCCCATTAATTTTTAAGTGGACGTCGTAAATACAATAAGTCTATATTGCTTCATTGAGGCTCCGGGGACAAAGAAAAGAACTATAAGCCGACATCGATAATTACGATCTGACTATGAGGTTCAGCTATAATTTTATGCGGCATTGCTGTTTGCATGATAACTACGGACCATTTGCACAGCTCTGGAAATGTACCAATTTCCTTTCAGAGACAAAAATTCAGGGTGAACCAAAAAAGTTATGCAAGCACTATCGTGGAATTTCTCAAAAAGTACCTAACATGGGTATTTCATTTTTGATTATAATCCTGTAAATAATCAGTGCAAATGTCATTAGAACCCATTTATGCAAACCAGAGCTAAAACAGATTATAGAAGGATATCTGTTTTGTTCAACCATTCCAATGGGTTGCGTTGGAAATCGCTCAACCGGCAATCTGCAATGGTCTTCACATTGGAACGGGTGAAAAACGCATTGCCATTTATAATCTGTTGTATCTCTGGTTTGCGTAATTAGATTTTCATCAAATTTTCGCTGTGATTATACACAAGAATACAAACAATGTACTCCATCAACATGCAATGCTGATGTTGGATACCTTTTGAGTATTTTAAAGATGTCTGCTTGCCCCAACTGTTTTTAGGTCACCCTGTACACAATTATTTGTTTTTAGACTTAATTCGGTTATTCTTTTTGAAAAATACCGGCTTGTGATTCTCCCAAAATGACTCTTCATAGATTAATTGCCGGTCTTTAGATTGAGAACGCTTAATTCAATAGCACAACGTTATATGAAATTGGGGTCATGGGTCAGCCAAAAGAAGTGTTTTGCGAACTTTCAATTTTTAAATTCTGCCAGTGCCCCCTCATAACCTCGCTTGTATTTGAGCCAATTTCAGGATCGATTCAAAAATTGCAGAGTATGAGGCAGGTTGTGAATCAGCTATGTTTGCCGTCCGGGGATACAAATAATAAGGTATTAAAAAGTGACCATTATGCCATTAACGTGATTATAAGGCATACTTTTACTCTAAAACAAAGCCTGCATTCCACGATGGTCTATATGTGCTGCAGGATTATGCGTGGATAGACCATTATCGATCTTTGTTTTCCAGTAATAATCTGCTTTGTAATCACGACCGGTGCGTGCCATTGTTCATGTCAGCCTATCAGCTTTACCATCCCGAGGTCACCAGAAAACAAATACGGGTCACCTGGATAACAGAGGATGCTCGCCTTTTCCTGTCTTCTCAGGAAACGGTGCGGTTCTGACCTGCCTAGTACTTTCCAGTGATGTTTGTGTAAATTGCGGATTCGAATTATGGTATTGAATACACACGTATGTAGTAAACAGTTACAACAGGATGACTGCCGAACTGGATCATGGAAGTACCTCCATGATCAGAGCTTGGGTTTAAAATTTTGAACAGTTTCGGGTCGGAATACTTTTGATTTTCATCAGAATTTACAATGAAAAGGGATATTTTTTTATAGGGGGGTTGTTTCTGAGCGTGTGCTTTAACATGCACAGTTGAAAAACAGTTTGGGATTTCAATGAACGCATTGTGCAAATTATGTCTGATGTGTCTGCTAAGTAAATATCATTCCGGCCTACAACTTGACGGCATGTTAGAACAAAACTGATGACAGCAACAGATAATAACTGGAAGATAGATTTTATCATCTTTTCAAAATTTCATTGCTGTCAACTTTCGCAAGTATTGGGATATATTTAGGGATAGGCCTTACAAAATTAGTGTTGACGTTACCTAATATCCGAAAACATTTTTTTTTCGAGAAATGGAAAGATGAGCAACCGTTTATAAATATGTCCTAGTGTTGCCTTTTCTGTGAAGGATGTTTATAGCTTTCTCTTTCTGTTGCTAGAACGCGAACACGGAACTGTAACACATAAAAATTAATACAAAATTAAAGAGTGTGGACGATATTTTCCAGTTATTTCCCGCTCATTCTGCACCAGCGAGTGTGCCTCCCCCCCCCCCCAAAAAAAAAAAACAGAGGGTGCGCCCCCCCCCCCCCCCCCGCCAAAAAAAAACAACATTCAGGAAACAAATAATTAAAAGTGTTCAATTTGTTTTCTTCAATGAAATTTTATATTGCATTAAAGCTGACTATTTCTCAAGCCACCGTCCCGTTACCCAATTCCATTTCGGTCCCTAGATCCAGAAATACAGCACTTAAGTGAAAGGGTGTAAATTTTACTTGGGCCACTCTCACATAGACATGCTGAATCTGGGTTAAGCAAATAGGAATTCGAATAGGCATTGAAGTTGGTGACATCGCAGGTGAGAGTGGCCCAAGTGAAAATGTACATGCACGCTTTCACTTTAATCGATTGTATTTGAATCTAGAGACCCAAATGGAATGGGGTAAAAAGGAGTGGATTGAGAAATAGTCAGGCTTTAATGTATTAGTTTCATTGAAGAAAAAAACATTACACAGTTTTAATTATTTTTTTCTGAATGTTGCACCTTTTTGGCACACTCTGTACAATATTTTTATATTCAAAGAAACTTTGGCAAAAGGGATATCCTATGACTGGTTGTTTGGTACATAGATAGTAATAATATAATGCAAGCAAGAACTATGAACACAAAATAAAGTAGAAACACTTTGGTAAACAAGATTATTCTTTTCCTTGTGATATATGATTTAATAGTATCCGAACGAGGCTACAACATTGCACCGCCATCTTGGCGTTTGATGCACAAGGTGGGAGACATCATTAAAAAAGAAAACTCCATCAAATCAAATACAATATCTTTGCAAAAAAATATGTACATCACAGCACGTATAATATATACTTCAACATTGACAATAAATCTTTGTATTTACAATACGTCTTTTGGTTTTGATACACACAATTACAAATATTTTGCTTAAAGTTAAAACGGTATTCAGCCAAATGACATCTAAATGAAAGTTAAATTTCTAGTCATCACAAGTGTCGAGACACGACAAGTGAATTTCTACAGAGACATTTGAGACAATGTTATATAATTACCTCATACATTTACATAATATCCTCAAGCTAATGAGAATTTACTGAATGACCAGCAGCGATATTTTTCCAAGCAATCAAACAATGAGATTTTGTTTTATAACGACATAAAATCAATCCTCTCAAAATGAATAATAATATTGTTCGGCGCCATGATTTCTGTTTTACCAGACTCGTCCGCTGTTATCAATTCCGAGGCTGTCAACTCTTTCTAATCATATTGGAAAAAAAAACCTGAAGGTCGCTCTTCGCGCTGCATCCGTTGCGTCAACAAGCGCATCTACAACAGAGTAATTGCCATAGCTTGGTAAGACCCTTTCCCCACCGTGCCTTTATTATAATCACGATGAGTCATCGAAGGATGGATGGTCGAAGCCAAAGACCAGGCTACCGCGCGCATGAGTCTCCTTCGGATCCGCCAAAAAAACATGGCATACGAGGTGCGCTCGTTGGATATAGCGCCTCGGGTTTAATGAATAATATTGAACACTCCCTCAAATGGACGCCATTGCGCACAACATACGAATTTTTGTCGTAGTCATCCTTAAATTGAATCATTGACAATTAAAACAAAACGTTGACATATCAGGATATCATGTGATACTTTACATAGCATCCATACAACACCTTTACTTCTTAAATTTTGTCAACGAAATTCTCTCGAACAATCTAGCACATCTCGATTACGTTGCCAAGATATTTTGTTCGATAATTCTCCATGATGTCTGCTTTTAAGAAGACAGCGTTTCAAGACAAAATTGAAAAAAAAAAAAAATTCCCATACGAAAATAATGTCATTCATAAACATGGATAGGCGTATCATCAATTTCTGGTCTTCCAGCAGCAATGACAGAACAAACGTCACAACACATCGTGTCTTGTCGATGACTTACAATATATACATATATAAAGTCAAGTTAATATCATATAAAACTGTTCTTTACATTGACCCAAACAAATCTTCATAATGTGAAAGAAAATGGTTGATGTCATTTGGCTGAGTACCACATCTTTATACATTCATGTACTTTTTGGTTCATTTAGATAATAGGTGTGACTATATTTAGTGGTAAAATTGTAATAATTACATTGGCTTATTATACACTGATCCATTGCAAGTACTGTTCTCGCACGTGTAACGTAAGGTACTTGTAAGTATGAAGGCGGACGATATGTACAAACATATGATGGATCGATCGGTGAGTAATAGTGACTGTCTTATGACTGATGGTAGTAGTAGTACAGTATGAATATTTAAGTACTGCAAGGAACCATGGAGATACTTTATTAAGAAATACAATAATCGAGGAGATGCCTAAATTGCAGATAATTACAATTTCAAGGTAGATCGACGATATTCAATGATAACTGACTTATGACACTAGCAACTAGCAACCCAGGTCATACAGGCGTGATTTTGAAACGGAGAAATGCAAAGGATAAACACACAACCATGATGACATTTCACTCGAATATACTTCTCAAAACCGAGGCAATTTGTAAAAGATAAACACACAACCATGATGAAATTTCACTCGAGTACTTCTCAAAACCGAGGCAATTTCTCCCCGCGACAGTTACATTGCCGAGTTTCGTCAGCAGCAAGCAGCAGTCAGCCGGCCGCGGCCTTGCAATGACGTCATCGGCCGTCAGCCGCTCATCGCCCAGGTGAAATCGCAAGATATTTAGCAGGTCGTGTCGAAACGCGGGCACAGATTTGTCATCGACACTCCACGCGAGCAAACGCTACGAACGGATTCCAGCATACCTGTCTGACGTACTCTGTCAAAATCAGACACATCAATTTTTACTGAAGATGTGAAATGATCTGTTTGGAAGATCGCCCTTCTTATACGTAAATCAGTGCAATGATTACAAACCAAGTCTCCTTGTTCTACCAAATACTCAATAGAGATGATATTATGGGGCCAAACCTTTAGTTTGGCTGACAAGTTTCTCCCAATTTCGACAGAGCACGTATATTGCATTCAACTTACAACGGAGCATTTGTCCTTATACCAGAAGGTTGGGCGCTTACTCTTAGGTGACCGCGTGTTTTACTTAATATCCAAATACATGTTTCCCTTCGAACTCGCACGGCAAATCTTTTAATAATGCAACATGGCTGGAATGAGAAATTGAACGTTTGCAAGACGCGTTACTTTGCTGGCCCAAAAAGAAAAATTTGAAGAGGAAACATTTCAATAGAAACGCTTTGATAAAATTCTTTATTCATAGATTAGGCTTTTGAAGTCTTTCCGACACTTAAAAATTTCAACTGAAAGCTAAGAATGTGTTTTGACTTTTAGAATTAATTCCTTAAATGCAGTGACACTATTCATAAATACAGATGGCTTACGTCTAGCGTGGATACATTATGCATGGTGAACAATGTGAAGTATTTTAGAAGCTTCCAAATTGCAAATGTAATTGTATCCGACTAGATTTTGCTGAGTGATTTAAGTGCCCTTAGTCCGCTTAACACACTTTTTAAGGACATCTAGTGGGCATAATAATGCATTCTACATTTTCAAATTAACTATCGTCCACTTTGTTGCCTTAACATATTGCCAACTTGCAATAACAAGTTAAAACCGATGGCATTGTCTTCTCAGTTCTAATGTATAATGGTTGTGCACATCCGTTCTCCGTTTCAATAAATACAATGGGCCTTGCAATATGAGGAGGGAGGCGACTTGCCCTTTTTATCGCGAATAAAACATTAAAAATATATATGACAGCGCCCACAGGTACAATTTGATAAATTAGCAGCGATGAAATTAACTTAAAGAGTCGTACAACGCGCACACTAGTGAAGCTGCATTGGAGCTCCGTCAATAGCTGTTGTCATGACGACGCTCCAAGATGGGCTTCGCGGTGGAAAATTAACACCAGTTTGGATTAACGGAACGGGTTCCTCCCATATTTTCCACCATGTGAGCATGAACAATGAACATATCTATTATCATCTTAAACTAGTGGTATCGCCAATTTATCAGAAGAGTTGTTTCATACATAAAATAAGGTGCTCATTATTTACCGTGTGTGAATTGAGAAATGCAAAAATGACAGTTATCGCGACAACTTCGTGCCGTCTCTTCTCTAATAAATAAAAGTGCTGCATTTACACTATATCATCGATCACAATAAAAGCAAATTTTTCATGTAATATATCGTATGAAAAAATAAATATCACACACAATGTTCATGACAGACTGGTTCTACATCGGTCATAGTATTTTAATACTGGCTCCGCGCGCCGCAGACGATACTCAACATAATTAATATCTCAGTCCATAATGAGAGTGCCTCACGTCCGCAGCGTGTGCGCGCTTGGCGTCGGCCAATCAGCGACGGCGAAAGACTCTAAGTAGTCAGCCATATTGGAAATCGGTGAAGAAAACAGCTGCACACACCTTCACGGAGTAAAAAATTCCTATGGCATCTTATCGTGGTCTAAAGTGATCGATGTGGAATGGAATTGAACTCAGTAAAACTACTTGAATTTAATTAATTACATGATTACCGGACAACAGTACATTATGTTGAATAAGACAAGATACAATACATATTTGTTGTCATAAATTAAGACAGATTTTGCAAACAAACGGTGAAATTATCCGTTGGGGGGGGGTTACAATTTGGTCGATGTAAAAGTGGAGGTTAATTTTGCAGAGAATTTCGTGCGCAAATGAAACCGAAATGTTAACATACGTCAGGAGGAAATTGTGTTGAAACACTATCAGTACATTTTCCTTTTCGTCTTTGATCTTAGGATGATGGGAACCAGAGCCGACCGTTTGTTTTGCAACATTGTCCGCTCTATCTATGTACAGTGAGATACCAAAAATCAAATCTGACTTTCATTAGACACGACAACTGATAAGCAATGTTGTTAGTCCTTCCCCAAAACATACGGGGCGTCGCTGACACAACGAAAACCCCAAGTGTCAACATGAGACGAATGATGTTGAATGCTACGAGGGGCCTCAAATTGCTTGAAATCCTTCACGTGCAGATATTTCACACACGCACGGGCAAGTAGAGAGGCCCCCATAAATAGCATGAACAGTATCTTGGTTTTGCAGGCATGTGACTTGGCAGGGCACTACATGTATGTACAATGTCGGTATCGCACATAGCAAAATCTAAACCTCGCATCAAGTGTGGCTTACAGTTTCGATCAAAACAATACATGATCAAATTGCCAACTTTTTTTTCTTTGAGGGCACACAAAATAAAGTCGTTGCTTATCATTTGACAGTTATATGAAAAAAAGGTGTACCATATGGTTGAACAACTCTTGTCGTACATTTTGTACATGCATAAAAATACTCCAACATTTTTGTGAAGGTAAGATCGTTATCAATAGGACGAGTTTAAGTACTTCACATATAATTATTCCAGTCTTAAGTACTGATGCGAACAATTATTTCTAGGTAACACAAGTACATACATGTTTTGAGTCTGACTTTTTTTATACGTGATCAGTGCACGGTTGCTGACAAACAGACAAACGTCTTGTCATAATCTTTGGAACAACACCGCACTATATTAATCCCATAAACACGATGAACAAACCTTCACATTATTAGGTATACATGAATACTCTATCCTTTTTACAAACTCAACACACCCGTACCTTTAGCTTTTGCCGTACGATTTAAGTTCACCCAAGACATCGGTGAAGTAGTTCGAGTCTCTGTTAATCCGCAGCATCTTGGAGCTGCAGTTGTTGATGATCTTTAGACATCTTGTCCAGAAATTATCCTTGTCCTCTTCCACAAGGAAGGGCTTGAGTGGGTAGCTGATCTCGTTGCCCATGTAGCTGTAGGATAAGTAGAGACAAGTAAGTACCGTGGCCTGGAGTTCTAACTCGCTCTGTATCTCCTGGATAGATACAAGGTCCCGCACCAACATGAAAACGAACACCACGTTCGCTGGATTCAGAAAGTTGATGTCCTGCCAGCCTTGAACCAGCAGCGACCGGTCGACGGCCCGTAACCAGACAATGGCATCGTTGGCATCGAAGCTTCGGAGATGAGGACACCGCCTGCTGAGGAAGTTCCCCAGGCATTTCAGGAGTTCACTGGTGGAGGACTGGACCACCTTCTTGGGGGGAACAACCGGCACCTTCAACTGGCCACTGGAAGACTTCCGTAGACCGCAGAAGGAGTTGTTGTTCTTGATGTTCTGGCTCTGGTGTTGATTGTTGGAGTTGGACTGACAGTGGGAGTTGAGATTGAAACAGGAGAAGGACTTCTTGATGCTGGAGTCCCCGTCCTGGCCCTGTGTGGTGTTAATTTCGGATCTCTGGCGTTGCAGCGTTTGGTTAGTGTTATTGGCGAGCTGATTCTTTGGTTTGAGGACGTGGTTGTTGTTGGCTTTGTCCATGCCAGTGTAAAACTGGTTATTGGTAAAGGACGTGGTCGAGACACCAGTACTTGCAGTCCTTTTCTTGCTGGAGACATTGAACATCTTCCAGCCCAGCGCACTGATGAACATGGCGGAATGTTTCCGCATGGGCCGTGTGGTGTCGGCCAGTAGGTTCTCCTTGGCGTTGTTGTTGGAGGAATTCTTGCTGTTGTACAGCATATTGAGATTGCTGACGCTGAGCGACGCAGTGTCTCCATAGTTGCCGTTATCTTTGTGCGGCCTGGGCGAGATGGACAACACAGTCCCCATGGCGACTGCTGGCTCCTCTTTGCACGCAGTTCGGCTCTTGAAAAAGCAGAACTGCTTTCTACTTAGGAGACCTATCTTTGTGTTAGACTGTCCACCGATGTTGACTACCAAACAACACTTGTCTGCGATACTCCCTGTGCTGGTATCGGTTGCTTTTCCGGGTGGTATTGTCTAGGTTTATGCCCTGATCATGCTGCGTTGACTGGTATGATAGAGGCTTAGTGACAGTCGCTTCCTTCCACTGTATCTCGTCGAGATGAAATGATGATGTCAGGCGCCTTGCCCAGTGCTTATACGCTGTATATGTGCGGCCGGCCGGCTCACACACCCCGTGAGGAAACCGCACGTCACTACCTAATCAGCATACTGCTGTGTAAGTGATATATCGTATGGAGCGTGTGGCTCGCTCGCTCTGCTCTCCCTGCTCCACAACTCCTTCCGGTAAGTGCTTCAACTTATCATCTACGGCTGTTTGATGTACACAGATGTCAACATTATTTTGACACATAGCGATCAGAAAAAAAACGAGACTGCAAATTCACTGCATAGACAGTCAGGATGAGTGACTTACAAAAACGAGACTGCAAAGTCATTGCATAGACAGTTAGGATGAGTGACTTACAAACAAACAAACAAAGAAACAGAATAGGCGCGGTCCAAGGGCGAAACTGTATGAAATTTAAATATGAACGAAAGAAATACAAATTGAAAATTAAAAATTAAAATAATCGGCACTTGCATACTTAGAAATTCTGAGGAATGTTACAAAAAAGGTTTCGTGCGAATTTAATTTTGAAAATGTATGGAATTTCAATTAAAATGGAAATTAAGCATAATCCAAACTCATCAGGAAATGCCCCTCAATGAAAGAAGTTTGTTGAGGTGTCGACGGAGGCTTGTTATTTTATCTGTTTACTTGTTTGATGACTGTTTCTCCTCCGGGGGGTGTCACTCCTTCCGTCTTCAGCAAATAGCACACCCAGTGCCGTCAAAATAAGGGGGGAAAATGAAGAATAAAAGGGGGAAAACTAACAAACAAAAAACTAACAAACAAACAAAACAAAAAAAAACACCCATAAATTAAAACAATGTGAGGACCAACGGACGTAACGAGGGTTCAGAAAGCTCTTATTTTTTTTCACTTTCCTTTTGTTTTCTTCGAAAGGTTCTTCTCCAGATTACGAGAGAGAGCCGGAGGACACCCGGCACCGGGACACTATCCTCAATCGTGGAAGGTGGGGGCGTACCCACTGTTCATAAAAAAAAAACCTGTGACATACAACAGCCGTTGGAATAAGGCGCTTGGTAATTGCATTCCACCATCCTCGCCATTATGCACTTGACGTTTCTTGCAGCCCGCAGACGAATGGATTACCTCTGCAGAGAATCAGAATTTAACAACAAAATATGCACGATCTTCATTTGCCAGTTACTTCCTATAAAGACTAAACATCGGCTGCATAATGCATAGTAGCTGTTAAATATAGAAACAAATCGGAAGCAGGAACCGCATATTATTTAGTCTGCTGACTCCAGTCTTCGATATTCCTTAATCCTCATTGCGCAAATATATTTTCAGAGCGATAATCATTGCAGAGGGTTTTGGGGCCTGCATGGAGATTTATTTCCATTTGGAGAATAACTGAAGCAAAATCACCAACCGAGATTGAGTGTATTCAATTTTCGTTCGATTGATTTTGTTTTTGTTTTTCGCTGTCCAGTGAACAGTTAACGTGTAGTAGGCCTACACGTCAAGAACCTGAATAAAACAAAGCATTACAAAAAACATAGTTGATTAATTAGATTTATCAAGTAGAAAGGATAACTTCACTTAAGCAAACTAAATAACCAACAATGGCAACAAAAGCAAACCACAATTTAATATAAAAATGCCCAGTAAAAGCGAAAATAATATATGACTCATAAGTGATTTCACTAAACTATAGCCTGCGCATAATTCCTTCGCTGCAGTGTACAAAACGCAAGTCAATCAGGAGTGTTGTTTCGTGCCTTGGAGGAAACTAAATATAACATTTCGCGCGGTTGCAATATTCGTGCTCCTAGGATATTTCACCCGTCAGTTTCAATTTCTCTTCTTTCCATTAGGCAAAACCTGGTGAAATAAGATAGGTTGATAATTTTAATGAACGATTATGAACGTTGAGGGAGCTGTTGAGATGATGTGGATTACCGTGGAACTCTGAGTGGCCCGGATGTAACGTTATGCAGATGGTGATTATGAGAGAACATTTGTCCAGATTGCGCTAAGACACGGTGAGAAAATTAAAGAAATAGCAGTGAACTTAAGACGACATCTTACTTCTCAGTCATGAGCCGCAGGAACTGGAAATAATGATCCGTGAATTAAGTGAAGAAAGTAGAAAGGCATCAGGACTCAACATGAATACTATAAGAAGACAAAAGTAATGACGAGAGACAGTGTGCAAGACTACACCATTACAGTTAATGGACACATCATTGAAAAGGGGAAAATGTGGACAATTACATCAAAAAATTGGGTGAAATTTGACAAACTCAATTTCATATTCCGTGATGAGAACCTCTCACTAACGCTGAAAAAAAACCACCACAGATATGTAATCAGTGTATTGTTCCGGTGCTCTCTTACGGTGCTGAAACTTGGACAACAACTCTCTAAATTCCAAGGAGTGAAATTAGGGACTAGACGTTGAAGAGTGAAAGTCACTCTCATTTTCGATTAAACAAGTCTGAAAAAAGAACCATTTCAGTCGAAGCTCGAGTGAAACTCAATCTTTACGATTGAAGGAATTTCACTCTAAAACGTCTAGTCCCTAGTTTCCGACAGCGGGAGTGAATCTTTACTCGAATGGAGTGAATTTTCACTCTTTGGAATTTAGAGAGAACCAAGAGACTGGAGAAGAAGCTAAGAGTCACAGCGAGAGCAATGGAAAGGATCTTGATTGGTGTTACAAGAAAGGACAGAGTTAGCTACCAAGACCTGAAAAAGAAAACAACAGTGAAAGATAATACAAGAAATAGAATCAAAGTGGAGGTGGGCTGGCCATCTAGATAGGAGACCAGATGACAAGGTGGATCAACAAGCTGAAAGACTGGACTCCTCAGTAGAGCATATACCAGAAGGAGAAGCAGACAAACAGAAGCTGGATAGATGACATCACAGAATATGGTAGCGTTAGATGGAAGAGAACAGCTCAGGACAGAGTGAAATGTAATATTGATAAAGAGACCTTTCTTCTGCAGTGGAGTGAAGTAGGCTAGAAAGGAAGAAAGAGAGAAGAAAAGGTCTTAATATCAGTTGGATTCAGTTGACAACAAGTGATGGAATACGTGATCAATATGTACACACTCTAAAAAGGCCCTCGTCGGATTTGGCACGAAATCCCAGGTTGTTTTGCCTATACTTTCCAGGATAAATGACACTTTTTTCCTAAGATTTCTATTTGACAAGCAAAATGATCCAGAGAAGTTTAATTTTGACTTGGGAAAGTATCATAATCTGAGCAGAAACTTTTCAGCGTGTAATGCTTGGACCAAAATATCATTCACCTCTGCCCTTTTACTTTGTCAGCTAACCTCTTGTTCAAAAACGTTTTGAGATATCTTTTGGTACATTTGTACAGCATAAACTAAGCTGCCTTGCCTTCCGCTTTGAGCTGTGATTTTGTAATAGGTTTCTCAGATGAATTTGTCTGCTACGGCCGATCACGTTGTGCCTTCTGTTACTTCTAGATTAAAACAAAATGGCTGCAATGGCATTTTCAACATGGGAGATACAGTCTGCATTATTATTGACTGGAATGGATACAGTAAGCTATATTTCCCGGTGGCACATGCCTATATTGACAGAATACCAGTTTTCTACCGGACAGAGACCTCCATGAGCAACCGTCCCAAAGGCCTCGATAACAGGAAGACTTGGAAACGGCTGTCCGGTAAAAGGCGCCCACTAGCGGTCAAACCATTCCATGAAACACGACCAAGGTTCCAAGAATTCTATAGTAATGACACACCTGTATGTAGGCCGACATTTCGACGTCATCCCTTCCGTATAAACACGAGGTTAATGTCTGGTACTTCGGACAGACTCTGTACACCATGGGTGCGGACCCCCCCCCCCCCCTTTTTTTTGGGGGGGGGGGGCAGGGTATCCCGCCCCCTTCACACATCACCACTAGTTGGTCCTATAAAGATCCTTAAGTCCGGGTATTTTCCACTCAATGCAGCGGCGCTACAATCCTGGCCAAATCTCGCTGGGCCCCCAACCCCCCGGCCCCCGCTCAATGTTGTCTCTCATTGCACGGTGTGTGCTCCATCAGCTGAAGAGAACAACATTGACCGGGGGAGCGGGGGAGTTGGTGACCGTGGCATGCTCAGGAAGTGTCCCAACCATTTTGTGTATCCCCCACCCAAAATTCAACATGAGTCCACTCTCAGTAGCTTGCCATTTTATTCTCAAGAACTTTTTAAAACAAAACACAATTTTCAATTATTTCTAGCATATTGCGACACTGAATCATACCCTGTGTAGTTAAGCAAGGTCATATTTACTAAAACATCTTTTACTAAGAAAATGTCTTTTTTGGGGGGGTGGGGGACCCTCACACCTAGCTGGTTGTGGGTATGGGTTCTTCTATAACTTGGGGGAAAAAAAGCAAAATTCTTCCCTAATTGGTATCGATTCGGTGTCTACTTCTTCTTTTTTGAACGGATTGATGCCAGTACTTCGCAAAATCTGTAAAAAAAAAAATTAGACGATCCTTTCCGCGTTTTTCCTTATTCCCGTACGAATGCAGCAGGCTGGTTGGTTAATCCCAATTAATTTTTTCTCTCCAAAAATCTCAATTAATTATTTCTCTCTGGAAAACGGCTCATCGTTGATTGTTTCGCCCTCCACCGCAGCCTTTAAGATAGGATTATTATTTCTAAATTTTGACAAACGAAAACATTTAAATTCCCTATTTAATTGTTACTGAACAGTCAAAGAATATCTTCTTCTCTCCAAATGCACAAGATTATTTAATTGGGGTTACGCGGATGAGGGAAGGGGAATTATAAACCTCGGGTTCTAGATCAAGGTCTCAGTGTACAGGGTGGTCCAGAAGAAGGAAACCCACATTTGACAGGAATTTTAGCCTACTTAGACCTACTTCTTCTTTTTTTGAAGTTATTTGGTTTTTAGCTCTCCAACCAAACATGGAGAAAAACATCTTTTTAAAAATTGCAAGAACAGTGTTATTATGCTAATTTGAATACAAGTCATCAAAATCACTGTTGTCCACGTGCAAGTCTAGTGCAGTGGGATTTT